CATCATTTCACGAGTCATTGAGATATTTTCGTGGCGTATGAATGAGAATCTATATATATGATATAAATTCCGTTCATTTAAAAATAATTAAACCACCAAGAATTGAGATCATTCCACATTGAAAGAGTTTACAAAAGTATCTTTACATATTCAAACATCGTATGTGTTCTACAAGTTTTGGAAGTAAAACATTGGTGTTTTAAATGTTTTCTTTTTCAATACTTGATTAATCCTACAAATCATTTGTAAGAAGTCCTTTAAACACTGCCAAGAACTAAAGATGGCTCTGATACTATGTTAAAACTAAGAGAATAGAGGAACAATTGTGAACAACTTCTGTATTCTGTGATGAATAAAACTATACAAGAACTCTCCTTTTATAGGTGAAGGAGGTAAGCACATAAGGTAAGTAATTAATGCTAATTACACAAATCATGCTCTAATTATACAATTATACAAATCATGCTCTAATTATACAGTTACACAAATCATGGAGATTGGTCGATCAATATAATTAGGGAGATATGCTAACAAACACCAATTAAATTCTAGAGGGAACAAATATCATTTGAGGACAACAATCTCATGTTTGAGCCTTTCTTCCATATTTTGGTGTACTTGATTCCCCATTTTGTTTTCTTCTCCATTCCCCTAGAATAATAATATTCCAACAATCTCAAACGATATTTTGATGGAGAACGAAATTACCATGGTCACTATTAAACTTATGAATCAAGACGTTGTTCGTTTGCATCGATCTAATAGAAAAAATTTCACTCAATAGCAAGACAAGTTGAAGTTCCTTCTCACGACATTGAAGATTTTCTACATCCTTGATCCAGAGTTGGTAATACTACAAGAACCAACAAACGAAGACATCGATGCCGTAATAGCCAAAAGTCATAAACGTTAAGAAGATGAATTAATTTTTCGTGGTATAATCTCTACACCAACACATTATTAGCAAAAGAAATTTAAGATGCATTAGAAAACAAATACAAAGCCGAAGAAAAAGAAAAAGAAAAAGGTACCAAGAAATTCTTGATATTTAGGTATTTTGAATTAAGTATCTTGCAAACATTCCTCTTCTCCCCCAAGTACATGAATTACAAATACTCGTCAACAAACTAAAGATAGTCAATATTGAACTTTCGGAATCTTTCCAAGTGGAAGCAATTATTGCTAAACTTCCGAACACTTGGAAATGATATCAAAAGAAGATTCTTCGTAGTTCGACAATTACTCTTTGGAATAAGTTGAAAAAAATCTTTAAATTGAGGAAGAATTGAGACATCAAAAGCCAATGCCGTTGAAAAGATCGAGTCATCCAACAAATCAAACAAAAGGAAACCTTCTAAAAACTTTAACAAGCTTAAGAGGAAGTCCAAGGGAGATTGTTTTGTACGTGGAAAATTTGAACATTTTGCAAAGGAATGCCAATATCGAAAACAAAATAAAAAAGAGGGAAAACTTAACTCCATTGAAGAAGATAGCATTGTGGCTACAATGAGCAATATCAATGATATCAAAAGCAAAGTCCCCGATAGGTGGTATGATACATGTGCATTCGTGTATCATATGAAAAGTCCCTCTTCAAGACTTATCATAAATCAAATAGAAAGTAATAGATACAAATGTGTAATGGAGACAGCTCCAAAGTGGTAAGAAAAAGAAATATTGATATCATCTTTACTTTTGGAAAAATCATTTCTTTAACAAATGTACTACATGTTCTTGACATGAATATGAATTCAGTGAGTAGAGATCTCTTGGAAAAATTGGACATCAAAAATGTTTATGAGACCAAAAATTTGTACAATCCCAAAATGGGAAATTTGTTGAAAAATGTTATTCCTACAAAGGAATTGTCAAAATATGTATTGCTGACGATATTAATAATAATAAAGTTGATTTTGCTTACTTGGTAGATTATTTTACTTTATGACATGCTAGATTAGATTACATAGGTTCTAGTTCAATGAAACTATTGCTCAAATGTGATATGATTTCATACAATGTGAATAATGCTTATAAATATAAAACATGCGTAAATCTACAATGGTTAAGAAGTCTTATCAAAGTATGAATAAGACTTCTCAAATTTTAGAACTTATTTATTCGGACATATGTGAATCTAATGGCATGTTAATTAGGGGTGGAAATAGATATTTCACCACCTTTATTGATGATCACTTTAGGTATAATTATGTTTATTTTATAAAACATAAACATGAAGCATTTGATATGTCTAAAACTTATGAAAATGAAGTTAAAATCACTTAATTAAAGAAAATAAAAACACTTAGAAGTGATAGAGGAGGAGAATACTTCTCTAGTGATTTTAATTCATTTTGTGAACAACAAGGTATAGCACATCAACTTTTTGCACCTAAAACATCCGAATAAAATGATTTAGCTAAAAGAAAAAAAAAATTAGTTGAATGATAAATATCATGTTAACACATGCTAAGTTGCCATTTAACTTGTGGGGTAAAACTTTGTTGAGTGTATGTAGAATATTAAATAGAATTATTTCCAAATTTCCAAATGTTTCTCCTTATAAATTGTGAAAAGGAAGAAAATCAATTATTTGATACTTCAAAATGTGGAGATGTCTTGTATATTGTAAGAACACAGACCCTAAAAGGACCAAGTTGGGTCCAAGAGGTATCAAATGTACCTTTGTTAGATATGCTAGGAATAACAAATTATATAGATTATTGAATTTAATGACCAATGTGATAATAGAATCAAATAACGTGGAGTTCTTTGGGAATTCACTATCTTCGAATAATGAATAAAGGGAAACTCATAAAAAGATTCCTAGCTCTAGTGAAACACAATATGAAATATCTTCTAATGATGTTAATGAAGCTAATGAACCTCGAAGAAGCAAAAAAACTCGGATAGAAAAGACTTTAGGACTAGAAGAAATTGATTTTCAATTTATTTCACTTTGCTTAGTAGAAGAAAATGAGAATAATGTTTGTTTTTACAAATGGAAACTGATCCTAAAACTTATAGAAAAGTTATTGCTTCTCATGATAGTATCTTTTGAAAAGATGCAATTAAAGATGAGATTGATTCAATTATGTCAAACAATACGTGGAAACTCGTCAATTTACCACTTGGGCCTAAACCTATTCGTTGTAAATGGGCGTTTAGGAGAAAATATAATATAGATAGTTCTCTTAATACCTTTAAAGATAGATTGGTAGCCAAAGGATATTGACAAAGTGAAAGAATTGATTATTTTAATACATATGCACTGGTAGTTAGAATAATATCAATTAAGATATTATTTGCATTAGTTTCCATACATGACTTACATATTCATCAAATAGATGTCTAAACGACATTCTTGAATGGGGATCTCGATTAGGGATTTTATATGGAACAACTTGAAGGATTTGTTTTACTCAAAAATAAGCACAATGTGTTTAAATTAGTAAAATCGTTACATAGTTTAAAATAAGCACCTAAGAAATGGCATGAGAAATTTAACTTAGCAGTTATTTCATATGACTTTAAACATAATAGTATAGAT